AAAAAAAAAAAAAAAAAACCAAAGAAAAAAAACTGGTGTTCCTACCAGGGAAAGCAAATTATAAAGCAGCCTTACCAGGCTCTATTTTTCCACTTTCACAACTCACATAGTTCAAGAAGGATACAGGCAACCTCTACTTCAGACATAAGCAAACATACAAATATCCCCCTGATCTATCTTCCCTCTGTCTTCAAACTATTGCTCAGTTACTTCAGGAAATATTCTTCCCTCTCTTGCATATCTCATCTATGATCTCTCCAGAAATGACTTCAACAAGGATGATAGAAAAAAAACAGTGCCACGGAGATAGCTCTATCCAGAAAGAAAATTGACTACATTTTGTGGCCAATTTAGAGCTTCATTAAACCCCTTAGAAGGAAGTTTTCAGAAGCTACATACCCATCTAACTTCTAATCTTCTATTCAAATCCCAAGAAAAGAATCTAAGAAAAATATAATAGCATGTAATAATTCATACTTTTAGGACCTTGTTATCATCATTGAATTATCTGTTTGTAAACGTCTGATTCTCAAGTTTCCCTCTATGTTCACTTGGCTTCTGGTCCTAACCCTCCAGGCCTTCTCCTCATATTCCTCTGACCAGTTCTCTCCTGTCTTCTCCCTGAGTGCCTCTTTCTCTGCCCCTTACACAGGCATTGTACCTCCTAGGGTTCAACCCTCCGCTGGCTGAGTTCCCTTGGTCTACTTGCTTCCTGGGCCCTTCCCTTCCTCTGTTAGACTTTTAGTTTCCTACAATGGGCTGAGGACCTACAACTGACTCTCCCCACAAGCAGATGATCTCGCTGTCCAGGGCTTCAGATTCATACATTGAAAGACTCCTGGACATCTTTGGCTAAATGCACCACAAGAATCTTTAGCTTAAGAAACCTAAAACTAGGCCGGGTGCAGTGGCTCACACCTATTTCCTATTTTTAGTTGAGATGGGGTCTTGCTCTTGCTCAGGCTGGTCTCGAACTCCTGAGCTCAGGTGATCCACCTGCCTTGGCCTCCCAGAGTTCTATGATTACAGATTACATCACTCTGCCACACAGTTCATCTCTATTATCTCATTTCATTCTCACAACTCTTAAGAGGTAGGTCTGTTTACATGCCCATTTTACAGATAAGAAAACTAAGGCCAAAAGAGGCTCAATGAATTTGCCCAAGTACAACTAGTAAATAGCTGAAGCAGGATGTCATTCTAGCTCTGTAAGTTCCTAATACGGGTATGTGCTCCATGCAAAACTGAGACCATGCTGGCCCACAGGATTCAATGAGCACAGCTATAAAGGGGGCAGAATGCACAGAAAAGGCAAACAGAAAGGGCCGTCATATAGCTGTGGCCTGAAGATAATATTTAGGTTAAATAGAATTTTGTGGGCTCACAATTCTATGATATTCAATTTTGAATAATCAAATAGAGTTTGATATTCAGTTTTTCTCACTATTAAATTTGATCTGAAATTGAATCACCTACATAAACACATATTTGCATAAATATGGTATCAATAGGGAAGTCCAGACTCACATAAATACATCTTATGCCTACAATGAACAATTTAGAAAGTTCTTAATGTGATTTAGTTTGTTTGGGGTTTGGGGTGGGGGGGGTTGAAACAGAGCCTCAAGCTGTCCCCTTGGGTAGAGTGCTGTGGCATCACAAGTCACAACAACCTCCAACTCCTGGGCTCAAGCGAGTCTCCTGCCTCCGCCTCCCAAGTAGCTGGGACCACAGGCGCCCGCCACAACGCCCGGCTATTTTTTGGTTGCAGCCGTCATTGTTGTTTGGAGGGCCCGGGCTGGATTCGAACCTGCCACCTTAGATGTATGTGGCTGGCACCTTAGCCGCTTGAGCCACAGGCGCCGAGCCAATGTGATTTAGTTTTAAATAAATAAAGCATATTTAAGGATTTACAGCTACCTATCTGATATTTGAAAATTAGGAAAAAAGTACTTATGTACTTGTTAAGTAGGTATAATGTTTTACGGTCAGCTCCATGTATATTCAAAAATGAAAGAACACAATTAACTTTTGCCAATTTCCTTCCCGTTATGAGAGCAGTTTTGTGTTTTAAAAAAAACGCATATCATCACATATAGTCCTGAATATTTTAACCCAAGGCCATGCACCCAGAATCAGTAACACATCTGCCTTCCATCCCAGGGCACTTTCCTAATACATTCATGTATTTCTTTTATGTGTTTCCTTGCTTACTTTTTGTTCTCCACTGCTTTTATTTCCCTCACAACGTACACACACACACACACACATTAGAACATAAATCCTTTGAAGACAGGGACTCTCTCTTAGTCTCTATTTATCCCTCCTAACTAGAAGAATGCCTGGAACGTAGTAGATGCTCAATAAACAAGCACTGTCTACATGAATGTCACGTGTGACTAAATGCTTCCAATTTTAGAGAAACCAAACCTGTGGGATTTGAAAATGGATCTTTCCACTCTTTTAGCTATTCTAGTAGAATCCAATGTTGGCAGCAGTTTGGGAAGGGGAAAGACAGAGCTTTTTACCTTTCTGATGTCCCTCGGATTCGCTCCTCACAACTAAAATTTAGATCTTCCATCTTCTCATGGAAGTATTTTTCCACACACTGCTCTTCAAAATCATGAAGTTTTTTCAGATCCTCCTTACTCAAGTAGAGTTCTGGAGAAGTAAGTATGGGACATGAAAAGAATCATTATTCTCCCTAAGTCGGAACCCGGCACAGAGGATGGGTGGCTTTTCCTCCACCTATGTTGAAAACTATCAGTTGTGTGATAAAAATTTCCTGTCTTGTCATACTGTATTCCCAGTGTTAATGGAGAAGCATTATCTAGAAACAACTGGAAACACCCATATGAATCTCTCCTACCTATTCTTTGAAAGTGACTCATATAAAGAATGATCTCTTTTCAATATTTTCATAGGTTGGAATATTTTCACACCTTAATAAAAGTTTACTTGAGCCTATGGGTCAAGTGGCTAAGGCACCAGCCACATATACCTGAGCTGGTGGGTTCGAATCCAGCCCAGGCCCACCAAATGACGACAGCTGCAACCAAAAAATAGCTGGGCACTGTGGTGGGTGCCTGTAGTCCCAGCTACTTGGGAGATGGAGGCAGGAGAATCAGTTGAGCCCAGAAGTTGGAGGTTGCTGTGAGCTGTGATGCTACTCTACCCCAGGCTCTGTCTCAAAAAAAAAGCTCACTTTATTTATACAAAATGGGGGAAAGAATCAGATTTTCTTTGATGCCAATTATTTGAGCTACCAAAATGACAATAAGTAACCTATAGGTTAAAATCAAAGTTAGTAGAAGCTAAGATGTACTGAAATTAATCCAGTAAGTAGAAGAAAATTTTAAATTGTTACACTGAGTTTATATATACTAAGACCTTCTGTGGACAAAGAGACATCATCATTACCAGTCAATGGTCAATCAAGGCTGTATATGTTCCCTGACATAATTATAAGCATGATAATTGCTTATATCATTTATAAGCAATAAATTATAAATGATATAAGCAATTATCATGCTTATAATTATGATAAGCCCTGGCCAGGTGCAGTGGCTCACACCTTTAATTCTAGTAGTTTAGAAGGTCAAGGCAAGAGGCTTGCTTGAGACCAGTTCACAACCAGCCCCAGCAATAAAGCATGTCTACAAAAAAAAAAAAATGTTATTAATTAGCCAGGTGTGGTTCCAGCTATTTAGGAGGTTATACCAGGAGGATTACTTGACCCCAGAAGTTTGAGGTTCCAGTGATCAATGATGAAGGCATGCACTCTAGCCCTGGTAACAAAACAAGACCCTGTCTCAAAAAATAAAATTTAAAAAGACAGATGATTTTGTGATATAAGGAGACTGATATAATTCCTCACCAAGCTTCAACATTCATACTTGGTCTACCACACTGGCTCTCACTCTTACCTAACAGAATGATACGTTGTCTTTTAAGCAAGTTTCTAAAAGTTGGAAAATATAAACACGAAGTGATACTGCTAAAAAGATAAAACTGGAAAATTCTCTTTCTTGAATGGTTTCACTCAAATTAAGAGAAAAAGAACTAATACAGTTCTCCAGAATTTATTAAAAAATACACTTGGTCCATTACTTTCCCATAAAATGAACAAAAATTAATTCTAAATCAAAAAAAATGGCCAATAGAAAGTAAAGTTCAGTCATTAAATGTGTTTACAATTCAAGTGCACAGTATTTTCTGATTTATATGGTGTGGAAGAATCTTTCAAACGCTGAAAAAAATCTAGTCTCTCCTATCCCAACCCAACTCTTCTACAAATAAGAAACTTCACAACTGCTGTGACATGAGCCTTCTGTGGATCCCTGAGAACAAACTATTCAAAAAGAAGTTCCCACAAGACACAGGGACTCGCATCTATAATCTCAGCTACTCAGGAGGCTGAGGCGGAAGAATCTCTTGAACCCAGGAATTCAAGGCTGCAGTGAGTGAGCTATGATCACGCCACTGGACTCGTGACAGGTGCAGCTTACAGTGTGTGACGCTTTCTTGTAACACTCCACAAGGTGGCACTGCTGCCCTGTGTGTAAATGTCTTCACGTAAAAGATGAGAAGCAACTTCAGGAAAATTCAATAATGTTCCAGGGTGCAAAGTGAACTCATCTCTACCTATCAAAGCATGTGTTTGAGTTTTCTATGAAATCATCCTTTCATCCCAGACCAATGTGAGCCCAGAGAAGTTTCTTTCATAGGGGATTAGGAAATCAGAGCACATCCTAGTCAATTCTAGAAACTCTGAAGTGGTTCATTCTGTGCATTAGGTGGCAATGGTTCTGTAGCCAATGCCTGGATGCTTCTCTAACAGAAGCTTGAAATCATAAGCCTTCACGTTAATTTCAATTGTGCTTTGGCTTCTATATAAAGGTTGAATCTCTTCAGGGGAAGAAATTAGAAAAAGAAAAAGAAACCTTCAAAGTGACTCAAGAGAAAAAAAAAAAAAACAGTTCACAGAGCCAATTACCACAAGTAAAACAGATCGCTCTGTCAACCCATAATAACAGGCTGCAGGGGAGATAGACCTGCCTAAATATATAAATATTCCACTACACCTTATCTGAAATACCTGAAATCAGGAGTATTTTAGAATTCAGAATTTTTCATTTCTAGTTTTAGAAAGATAATGTAGTGCATATACCATAAGGGAAACAAAATCCCTATTTAAGCCTAGGGCAGTTCCTCAAATCAAACACATTACTATTTTCTGTAACAAAATCGATGATTATTCACACTATGACAGATAAAAAGCATAAGTGGCTTCATACAAGTTCCCATCAGCCTCTTCTGGCCAAATGAGTCTTTTCTCTAATTTATGAAGAAAAAAAGACATTCAGTTTTCAGAGAGATTTTAGATTTAGGAATTGTGACAAAGTGTTGTGGATTTATGCTACCTGGTCCCAGTATGTTTAGGAATTATCTAGAAATGGGCCTGGTACCAAATGTGGAATTGCTTGATGAAAAAAACACAAAAGACCTGAAAAACCACAAGAAGCAATATTCTCCTCTCACAATTAGTGTGACAGTCACATTATGCTGCCAAGATTTGGCTAAAAAAGGTGGACTAGGAAAACGTCAAATTATATAGGTTTATGCTTTGAGAGAAAACAAAAAGTGAGAATCCTTATTTCTGTATCCTGATTCTCTATGCTGCCCAGGTTAGAGTAGTTAGTTACAGGCTCACCCATACACTGCAGCTTTGAGCTTCTAGGCTCATGAGATCCTCCTGCCTCAGCCTCCTGAGTAGCTGGGACCACGTGCACACCACCATGCCTAGCTTCTGAGTTGAAGTTCTCAAAAATTCAGAATCACCTCCATATTCAGTAGGCTAGAGAACCAGAGAACTAGAATTCTGGTTAATAAGTTAAGCAAAGCCTTATCTACTCCCCTTAGATCCCAAGACCTTCTGTAACTCCTCTTTATTTGAATTCCATCTTCCACCACAGAGAAAAAAATGTGTCATGTGACTGTTCTCTAGGAGTCAGTCTGATAAGGCCTAAAGAGAAACTATAGGTTTTCCAAGTGACAAAGCCCTTCACACATTCAGAGATTCTCTTCCTCCCTAGTTCTTCTTTCAAAGTATCCACTAATTTTGGCAAAAGGCGCTATGACAACCTAATGACCACATGAGGAGGTGAGTGTGTTTACTTTGCCCCAGGGCATCAGCTGACTCCCAGAGTCTTCCATCCTGCACCCTGAATTTAATTTACAAATGCCCAGTGTGTCTCTCTGCTTTAGATCTCTATTTTTCACTCTCTTCCTCTTGCCTCACCAGTAAAACTTACTTAATCCAACGTCACCCTCTTCTTGGTCATTGGGCGTTCGATGATGGCATAGGCGGCGGAGAAGGAGACACACGTGACACAGGAGGATGAAAGGTGGTGGGAGCCAGGGCTTCTCATAGTATGTCATGATGTAGCGATAGCGGTTGTATTTCCACAGCTTATTTGAAATGGACTTCATATCTAAATAAACATTGCTGTAAATTGTAGTGAGAGAGGAACAATGTTTTAATACGAAATCCTGAAACACAAAAGTTTCTTCATTTTCCATATGTTTATGATTGGTTCACCTGCCACTATCAGCCATTAGATAATAAAACTAATAACCACTGCATTTATGATTCATCTTCCACCAAACAAAATATATTAATCACCGTGGACAATAAAATATGCTAATCAGAATAACAAGCAAAAGACGGAAATTACAGTCAGAGAGAAGAAAGCGCAAATATATTCAATGTAATGAACAGAAATTGCCCTCTGGAACTCAACACCGCTCTTGGGTCACCATCTATTCTCACATAAGCAGCCCTTTTTCAATCTATAATTCATCCTTTTGGGTAAACAGCTTTAATGTTCCTCTACATCATCAACCTTATGAAGAGATCCTCCTAATGTCCGATGTTGAGAACTGCTAGAATAATCCTAATTAAAATACCCAAACAAAAGAATAAAAAAGAAAAAAATACAAACAAAACGTATTGATGAAGAAGAGACAGGGAAGAAGAATCATTTCATCCTAAAATAAATCAATAAGCACAGCCTCTACTAGAAGCGAGGTAAATTATTTAGATTAACTTTATAATAAAAGTAACTTCTTACTGGTCAGCCACTTCAAATTTTCCTTTGAACTGTATCAGTTATCCGATGGTATAGAGAATATTGAGATTATGGAGCTTGTATTGGAAGTAATGGCTGGAAGTAACATTATTCTAAAACAACCTGTTACTTTTAACTTCTTACCTCTCAGTATATACATGATATTGAGGTGGGGTGACACAACGGAGTGACCTCCTTAACATCTTCCTTAGACTAACAAGAACTTTAGCTTCTTTAGAGAAAGATAGCACAGCAGAATCTGAGAAAGAGTAGCCAAATTTAGCAAACAAAAACACAGAATACCCTGACCTTGAACAGCGCTAAAGAAATAAAACCAGAATCATCCTGGGGAAATCCAGCTTAGGATAAGAGTAGGAGGGAAGTTTCACAGAATCCATACAGAAGGTGATTGAAACATCGATGACTGGATCAGAGATTCAGCATCACCTGAGAACATGTCAGAAATGCACATTCTCAGGTCTTGCCCGGCAACTCCCTAATGATGCTTCTTCCACCAAACAAAATACATTGATCACCTTGGACAAGGTGGAGGTGGAGATTCTAGCAAATAGCGTCTCAGCAAGCCCTACAAGAGAAACCATGCCAAACGTGACTGCAGCCTTCCACCAGCAGGTGGCGACCTTCTCAGTGTAGTTCAGGTTCTTTTTATTTATTGGTATGAAGAATTCTGTCTGTCCGCAGCTCCTGGACAAGTAGTCAGATCTGAGATTGCTCAACTTTGTTTAGTCCACAATGTGTTCATTTCTTTTTTTTTTTTTTTTTGTTGAGACAGAGCCTCAAGCTGTCCCCCTGGGTAGAGTGCCGTGGCGTTACAGCTCACAGCAACCTCCAACTCCCGGGCTCCAGCGAGTCTCCTGCCTCCGCCTCCCAAGTAGCTGGGACCACAGGCGCCCGCCACAACGCCTGGCTATTTTTTAGTTGCAGCCGTCATTGTTGTTTGGCGGGTCCGGGCTGGGGATTCGAACCCGCCACCTTAGGTGTACGTGGCTGGCGCCCTAGCCCGTTGAGCTATAGGCGCCGAGCCAATGTGTTCATTTCTAAAGTGCGAAGTCTCGCCTAGGAGAGGATTTTCCAACCTCCCTTTCGACACTGGATATTTTTGAGCAACAAAAATCTCACAGCCTCTTATGGAACATATCAAAGAATAGCTATAATAATTAAATGTGGACAAATGTTATAAGTCCCTAAAATGGCAGGGTTAAGAGGAATGAAAGCTCTCTCATAATCTTATAACAAGCAGGGAAGTATATCCTTCCCATATATACATAACAACCTACCAAGTCATCTTTTTAAGTATTCTGCTTTATTTTGACTACCTCTCATCCCCTGCCTTCTCTATTTTCTTAGATCCTATAAATTTATTTTCTCTTTTCTTATCTATATACTTGCACATAAGAGGAAAACAGAAAATACTAATTTCTTCCCATCGCCTCACTTGATTTCTTTCATCTACTAAATAATGACAAACCAGGCATTCTTCTCAGTATTTGAGTTAAATTCACGAACAAAAAAGGCAAAATGACTTATCTTTGTGGACTTTTTATTCCAGTAGAGGAGCCATGTAACAGAAAAACATGATAAATAAATGACGAAATATGTTCGTGTCTACAAGTAGGTATAAAGAAAGACGATTAGGGAATGAGGCCTGCCGAGAAGATGGCAGAGGGAAGGGGCTGTACTTTTCACTATAACGCTTAGGTTAGGCCTAGTCACAAACCAGCCGTTTGTGCAAGACTAGAGGGGTGAGGGAATGAACCACAGTGTCATCTGGGGGAACAGCATTCCAGGCAGAGACCACAGCAAGTGCAGATGTAAGAGTGTTGTCGGAAAGCCTGGGAGGGGCCAGTGTGGTTGGAGAGGAATGGGTTGAAGTGTGATTTGAGAAGTCACAGGGAAGCCAAATGACATGGGGCCATACAGGTCACTGTAGGAACTTAGATTTTTACCCTGAGGTAAATGGGGAGCAATTGAAGTGACATCATCTGATCTATGTTTTTAAAGAGTCATTTGGGACTGAATATGGTGGCTTATGCCTATAATCCTATCATTTGGGGAAGCTAAGGTGGGGAGGACTGCTTGAGGCCAGCAGTTCAAGACAAGCCTGGGCAACAGAGTGAGAATCCATCTCTGCAGAAAGGTAAAAAGTTAGCCAGGTACAGTGGTGCATTATAAAAGTTGGCCAGGAACAGTGGTATTCAGAAGGCTGAAGCGGTAAGAATGCTGGAGCCCAAGACTTTAAGACTGCAGTGAACTGTGACCAGGCCATTGGACCTCAGCCTGGGCAACACCAAGATTAGCCCTAAATAAATGATTGTTTGGGCAGCAGTGTTGAGAACAAAGTAAAAGGGCAGAAGACAGAAGTAGAGAAATAAATCAGGAGGCTTTAGGGTAACAGTGAGTGGTGAGAGGTAGCTGAAGTGATGATCTATTTGAAACCTGAGTTTCTGATGGTTTAGAAAGATCCTGATAGTTTCAAAATAGCTACACAAGAGGAATTAAGAATGACTCCAAGGTTTTTGGCCTAAACAACTGAAAAGATAGACCTTCAACAGAAACTCATGTTTAAATGTATGCTGGGAAAGAGGGGAAATAGATGGGAGACATTTTAAATCTTAGAAATAGATTACACTGTTAACTGGTGATCGAGAAGGCAGCTGGACCTGCATGACTAGAGTATGAGAAAGAGAGCCGGCCTGGAGATATAAATTGGGCCTAATCAGGACATACAGGAAAACTGAACAAGGCCATAACAACACATAAATAAAAGGGCGAGGTCTGGGCTCAGGAACAAATCAGTGTTGAAAGGTTGGGGAGAAGACGATCCAGGAAAGGAGAATGAGAAGAAGTGAAAAGTGAGATAAAAGAGAACAGAGATGAGTTCCACTGAGGTCCACTGCGGTCCACTGAGGTCCACTGAGGTCCTCTGAGGTCCACTGGACCAAGAACTCCTTAGCCAACTTTCAACTCCATCCACTGCCAGTCTGTCATCATTCTAACTTCCTGCTTCATTACAATTCAAGATCCCACTTCATTCTGCTTTTATTATACTGTACTTCTCTCCACAGTCAGCTCTCCATATCCATGGGTTCCACATCTGTAGATTTAATTCACCACAGAGCAAAAATAATAGGGAAAAAAATGGATGGCTGTGTCTGTCCTGAAGAAATACAGACTTCCTTTCCTGCCAATATTCTCTAAATGATACGGCATAGCCACACACGGTATCTACATTGTATGGGGTCTTACAAGAAATTGAAAGATGATTTGAAGTATACGGGAAGATGTGGACAGGTGACTTGCAAATACTACACCATTTTATAAAAGGGCGTGAGCATGATGGATTTTGCTGTCTGTGGGGGGTCCAGGAGTTAGCCCCCTGTGGATGCAGATGGATGACTGGATTAATTACTTCATGGATTCCTACGCTGCCCTTCTCATCACCAGCACTTTCATGTCCGTATCTTAAAACTATAATTTTAAAACATGGAATGCGCAAAAACCACATATTACGTACTCAAAATGCATGTGATTCTACCCAACATGCCTGGCCCCACGTTTTGCTGATATAAGACGTATGAAATGAAAATAACCTACTTGAAGAAAGCAATCAGCAGGTTCACCATGATGATATACTGCACGAAGAGGTAGACGGCTTGCAGAAATGGAGTCAGAAAAGAGCCAGGAGGGCAAGCGGGCTCGCTCTCACAGACTACAAATGGAGAAAAAGAATGGAAGGTAAGACAAATCACAGTCCACAACTCCAGACAGACACCGCGTATAGCACAGAGAATATCACAGATCACAAATTTTACACATGTTTTAAGATTCAGATGACTGTTTTGCTTTTCTTTGGGGTTTTTTTTCTTTCTCACTCTGTGTATCTACAAAGGTGCGATTTCTGCATAATGGCAAAATCTCCTACGTACCATCTATCTCTCCAGCATAAACTTCTCCGTATATCATCCAGTATGGCTGAAACACAATATCTCGAGCCAGGGTCCAGGACGGCGGCTCCTTTGGTGACAAGATGGCCTTGCGCGCCACTCCGAAGCTCAGCAGGACTATAGCCATCATGATCACAATGTAAAACATGTTTGCTGTCTGTAACACACAACCAGAATCTTAGCACAGATCTGAGAGTCGAGACAAACCAACCATCGTAACTACACCTGCCAGTCATAAAACTGTCTAGCCATTGACTAAAATGCCCTGGTCCATAAATAGCTAGGCTTTCCTGGGCTGAACGGTTTCGATTTCTCTGCACGGTACGTGTTTCAACTCAGTGTGGTCTATGGAACAACATAAATGTGCCGAGAGTGGGGAATCTATGCTTCTTTCATTAAGCAATAATGAAATGTGAGCACCTTTTAATGAGCAAAGAGCCAACTTTTCCCCCATTGGACCAGCAGTTAGGAAAGGGAAAAATATAAGGTGTATTCAAATTAGTCCAATGACTCTTTATTCCCAGAATTATCTCCGGGAATTGATTAGAGTGTGAGAAGTTGACCAAGCCAGGTTTACACCATGTACTAAATGTACAACTTAATCCATTAGCTCACTGTGGCAGAGAGAGTATTCACCAGAATGCCCACCACTATTCCAAGAGAGGCCCTGCACTTCCTAGTTTTGCTTCCACTGGGCTGGCACCATGAAACCTATTCTAGGGCTGTGGAGTGATGTTGACTTGGGTCAGCGCTTGTCCAGAGCAGTTCAAAGCCATCAGACTTTCTCTACCTCTCTCATTCCCTGAAATGAGAGACCACAGAAGCCACATGTTGACATGGATATGTCACAAGATCCCTTAAGTCACTGCCCAGAGGACACCCCCACGAGTACTCATCAAACTTGGGAGAAATAACCCAGTGCTAAGTCACTGATATACACTGGTCATCTCAGTACAGCCTACATCATAAATATTAATGTCATCAAGACCAGAGAAAACATTTCTTATCAAAGAGAAAAGTGTAAAATTAGAAAAATCTGTCTGTGGAGTCCTCAAGTTCTCCCTTTTCTGTCCTTTTCATTTGTTTCAGCACTACCTTGCGTCTCGCAGAACATCCCCCTTCCCTGCTGGGGAGTATTCCAGAGGGAAAGGCCAAAAATGACCCTCAGATACTGCACTTCCTAGAGGATAGATCTTAGGTCCTTATAAATAGCCAGATGGAAAAAGCTGAAATGATCAGCAAGTTCAGATCCAGATGACCCACTGTGGAATCCTGGCTCCCACATATACCCATTGCCTTGATGGGAAATGTCTATAATAATACTACCTATCTCACAAAGTTGCTACGAAGATTAAACAAGTTAATATACACAGACTACTTAGAGTCATGTGTGGCCTGTCATAAGCACTATTTAAGAGCATGGTAGATCAGCTAGGCACTGTGGCACATGCCTGGAATCTCAGCTTCTAAGAGGCTGGGGCAGGAAGACGGTGTGAGCCCAGAAATTGGAAGCTATAGTGAACTATATTCTCACCACTGCACTCCAGCCTGGATGACAGGGTCAGATCCTGTCTGAAAAAAAAAATAAATGTGTGGTAGGGGAGAGTGAGTGATAAATAAATGGATAATGTTAGCAGAAAATATTATGGGGAGTAGCCTCATACAAATCTGGCCCTCAGCAATTGTGCCCAAAGACAAATTTGACTCAATCCCTGTTATGTGACCCTGACCAAAAGGGTAAGTGGGTATCCTGATCAACTACCCACTATGCTATCCGAGACAGTTGTTGCAAATACAAGTTTGTGATTGCATGGAAAGCAGTGAAGAAATGATCTTGTTCTTTGTGCCTTTCTAAATAATTCCTAAAGTTAAACTATTGGATGTGAACCATAAAATTAGGTAGAATCATTAAAGAAGCCAAGTATGATAGCACACCTTATAGTTCCAGCTACTTGGGACCCTAAGGTAGAAGGATCACTTGAGCCCAGGAGTTAAAAGTCCAGCCTGGGCTTGGTGCCCATAGCACAGTGGTTACGGCACCAGCTACATACACTGAGACTGGTGAGTTCAAACCCAGCCCGGGCCAGCTAAACAACAATGACAATTGCAACAAAAAACAGCCTGGCATTGTGGCGGGCACCTATAGTCCCAGCTACTTGGGAGGCTGAGGCAAGAGACTCTTCCGCCCAAGAGTTTGAGGTTGCTGTGAGCTGTGACACCATAGCACTCAACTGAGGGAGACACAGTGAGACTCTGTCTAAAAAAAAAAAAAAAAAAAGTCCAGCCAGGGCAACATAGCATGATTCTTTTGCTAAAAATTAAAAAGAATACCAGGATATAAAACCAGACTGTACTCACCATTTTTGCAATCATGGTCACATAGGGACCTGCATGTTGATTCACAGCGAGGAAGTCCAGGAGCCGTGAGAACCAGAAGATGATATCTATGCAGTAGATGAGCCGCCCGGCGGTGTGGAAAGGGGGGCGGCCCCAGCGAAGGCCAAAGCCAACTGAGAACAGGCCGATGGCTACAGTCTCCACTAGGTTCCAGTACTCACTAATCCATACCTTCACCTTTTGAGTAAACTTCCCAGGCTCCGACATACAGATCTAAAAGAAGAAAGAGAAAAACTTAAAGAATTCAGGAATTTCATCAATGTCACCTTCTTAAATACATCAACCACTCATTTAAAGAGTAATCTGAATCCTGCCAAACCTTAAATCACAAGATTTTAGAAACTTGACTTACCCTTGGTAATGAATTTCTTTTTTAACTCAGTCAGCCTAGGTAGAGTAGGCTGGTATCATAGCTCACAGCAACC